AATAGAACACAACAAAGTGGAAGTACGTGACTTCTGGGGCAAGGTCATAAAGCGTTGCCTCTTCCATCTTGGTCTTTTGGTTCACTTGCTCTGGGGGAAGCCAGGCACCATTCCGTGAGGATGCTCAAACTACCCCATGGAGAAGCCCATGGGAAGAGGAACTGAGGCCTCCAGCCAACGAACCATCTTGGAAGTGGATCCTTCAGCCCCAGTCAAGCCTTCAGATGGCCGAGGACCTGGCCGACATCCGACTGCAGCCTCATGAGATAACTCAGGCCAGAACCGCCCAGCTGACCCACCCCTGAAATCCTGACCCACAGAAACGGTGAGCCACAATAAATGGTGACTGTTGCTTTGAACCACTAACTCAAGGGCGAGTTGTAATTCAGCCAAAGTAACCATAAGACCCTGGGAAATTCGACCCCAACTCAGTGAGCAAGGAGTCTTGGCCTCCAGTCCCTTCTGGGGCTTCTCTCTCTGACACCTCAGACCTTAGCTGGGTGTTGTGTTCGTTTTCTAAGCCGTGTGACAAATTATCACAAATTTAGTAGCTTAAGACAACATACACACCTGTTATCTCACAGTTTCATTAGATTAGTTGTCCAGGGGCTGCTCAGCTGGGTCCTCTGCTCAAGATCCTACAACGCCCCCATCATGGGGGTGGTGGGGCTGTGTGCTCACCTGAGGGCTCAGCCGAGGAGGATTTTGCTTCCAAGCTCTTCCCAGTTATTGGCAGGACTCATCCCCTTGCAGCTGTGTGGCTGGGAGCCTAGGGTTTTGCTGGCTGTTGGCTGGAGGCCACCTTCAAGTTCTAGAGGCGACAGTTCCTTGCCACGTGGGCTTCGTCAACATGTCTGCTCACCTCGCCGAGCCTGCAGGGGGAGTGTCTCGCTCCAGCCTGCTAAGATGGAGTCTTGTACAAGGCAACCATGGGGGGACAGCCCCTCACCTTTGCCACATTCTGTTTGTTAGGAGCCAGTCCCAAGTTCTGCCCACACTCACAGAGGAGATTAAAACAAAGGTGTGACGCACGGGGGTCGCCTTAGGTGTGTCCACAGATGCTAATGGGGGATTTCTCCTGACAGGGTCTTGCTGGCTCTGGAGAGAGAGAGAATCTCTGTCCCCTCCCCCCGCCCCCACAATGTGGGTGTTCAGCCATATGGGCATTATTATTTGTTATTGTTAATTAATTATTATTAATATTAATGATTGGCATTATTAACAATGGTATTATTATTGCCACTGAGCATATCTTCTGAGGCACAGAAGACACACGTGAGCAGCCCAAGGTCACTCAGCTAATAGCTATTAGTCAGGACCGTGTGACGCCAACTTGCACTGGCTTAAGCAATCAGAAGGGGGTTCTACGATTGGCTCACAGGACGAACACACACAGGGTGAGAGCTGGGCCTCAGGGAGGACTGCATCCAGTTCACCAGCGGTGTGCCCTAGGAACTGTCACTCCACCTCTCAGCTCTGCTTCCTCTGTTGGCTTCACCCTCAGGCAGCCTCTTCCTCGTGTTGGCCAAATGGCTGCAGCAGCTCCAGGAGAAGTCCAGGGCTCTCTGGCCTTGGCGCGTCTTGGGTCTTGTCCGCAGGCCTGGACCAACAAATGTGTGCATGTTCTGATCCAGGCCTCCTGGGTCAGGCCCCGCTCTGGGTCTTTGAACCACAAAGGCCAAGAAGGGTGGTGGAGCGCACACCCCGGGGGGCTCTTACCGAGAGAAGGGAAAGGGCGCTGGGGAAGCAGAGGCGACCGAGGGCCCGTCAGGGGACAGAACTGGGTTCCAAGCCAGTTCCGCCTGGCTCCAGGGTTGTGCTGTCAGTCCCTGAGACTCCTGTGCCCTCTCTGTGTCGGGGAGCTGAGACAAGACGCCAGGTGCGGCTGGGAGGCGGTCCCAGGGTGACTGACTCCCCAGCCTCCTCCCCTGCAGGAGGAGGGGAACTCCAGGTGCCACAGGGGCACCCCGAGGACACCGAGCCTCTGCACAAAGTGGCCATGCGGTGGAGGGACTGCTTTCTCTCTATGCCAGGAGGGTATGGCAGGTAACTTACGGACGCAAAGCCAGCAGGCGGCTTCTGTCACCATCTTCTCCACCACCACCCGTCACCGTTTGGGGAGCATTTAGGATGATTTGTGTACAGTGCTTTAATCCTCGCAACAGCCCCCTGAGGAAAGGAAATGTCACCATCCCCATCAAACAGGGAGAAGGCTGAGGCTCGGGGGGTTGAATCAGCCGCTCACAGGCCCACAGGTCCAGCATTCACGCTGCCCGATTCCCCCACTCAGAGGACAGATTGTAAGATAACAAATTCGCGTGTCTGAAGCCACTAACTCGTTACAGCCGACATAGGAAGAATACACCCCCGTCCCCAGCCACCTACTTCCCCATCCTAGAAGGAACCAAGGGTACAAGTTGTTTCTGATTGTATCCTTCCAAGTGTATTTCACACATATGCAAACACACACACACAGACACACACACTTTCTTCCTTCCCCCACAAATCATAGCATGCAATACACGCTATTCTGGGCAAGTCTGTCCTCCGGGTGTGAGCCGTGTATGGCCCCATCCTCCAGCAAGCACACGCGGCAGGCCAAGTCGTGTGCCAGGCCTGAGACGCAGCCTCTGACCGAAAGGGGAGGTGGAGGCACTAACAGACACAGGCCACCAGGGCTGGGGGTGTGAGAGCAACCACCTCCTACGTCTGCTCCAAATTCACTTCTGGCCGGAGGCTGGGGGCCGGGGGATGCCGGGGGATGCCGGGGGTTTGGGGGGGTTGATTATAAAGGGCCACATGAGGGATGCTGGTGGTGGCAAACCTTCTCTGGACGACACACGACTCAGGACAGGTGGCAGAACTGTATACACCAGACTCACACCCAAATGCACACAAGTAAAACTGGAGAAACCTGAATAAGACAGACAGATTGCATGAAGGCCACCGTGCTGGCCGCGACAGTGTACCATAGTTTTGAAAAATGTCGCCGTTGGGGGGAGCTGAGCCAACTGTACCTGAGATCTCTCTATATTATTTCTTCCAACTGCGCGTGAATCTATGGTTATCTCAGTTCAAAGAATTTATTTCTGGTGCCCAAGTCCACCTTAGAGGCTTCTGTCCTGTGCTCACGGGGGCTAAGGCTTATAATGGGGCGCCCCCTCCACCATGACAGAGCTCCTCCACAGTAGCTCCAGGTTGAGGGGCTGCCTGACCTGCCTGGGGCCCTCAGCAAAGGTGGGATGAGAGCCTGAATGAATGCATGAATGGATGCGTGAAGGAATCTATGAATGGACGCCTGAATACACACTCATTCACGGATTCATTCATGCATGAATGGACCTACTCCAGGTGGGTGGAGACCCCAGTGAAGGGTTGGTGCCAGGCAGTCACCCTCCTTGGACCTCGGAACAGGACAGCCCCTCGGACAGCTGGGCCACATGCCGGGCCTGAGAGCTGGATCCCCCTGAAATGAACGCTGCCTGAAATCCTCCATCTGCCATTTCCAGACGCTCTGAAGTGAATTTGCAATAGCAACACTTCTCACTATGCCATTCCAAACGCCCCAAAATGTCCCCAGCCCCAGCCTCCCCATCCTCAGGGACATCCTGGATTCTCTCCTCCACGCTGCCTTGCCAGGGCAAGCAGGCCCCTGAGCCCCCTGGAGTCTGAGCGGGGGGTGGGGGGTGGGGAGGGAGTTCAGGGGCCGCAGGTGAGCAGGAAGCCATGAGGGGGAGGAGGACACCCTGTGCAGGGTCGAGCAGACTTATGGTTCCCACTCTGACTCTGGCCCCCGTTAGAAGCCCCCTTTCTGGCTTATCTGGAAAGGGCAGAAACCAGGGGCTGACACAGGCAGCTTAGTGAGAGCGAAAGACCCCCCTGATCTCTTCCTGCTTTAGGTTCCCGGGAAGGGGCTGGGTCCAAAGTCAACCCAGGGAGGGGGAAGGCCGTGCAGCCGCCTCCATTGGCTCCTGCCCCTCCCCCAGACTTCCCAAAGACTCGTCTCCTTCTGTCGCCCACCCCGTCTCCTTCTCCTCGCTCTCCTTCCTTCTCCCTTCCCCACCGGGCTCCCAGATCAGGAGTGGGGGCCTGGGGAGCCGAGCTGAGCCCCTCTCGGCCCCTCCCGCAGCCCTCCCCCATCGGAGGACGCCTATATCTCCTCTCCCAGAACCCCCCCCTCCAGCCCCCCACAGCCGCATGCCTCAGCACCAGGGAGGCAAATCCGAGCCGCCAATCTTGGACTAGCGCAAGTCCTTGCTCCCGCTTCTTTTAGGAGGGTGTGTTTGCCCAATTCCCTAAAAAGAAAAAGCGAGGAGGGGGGGCGGGGGGCTGTGTGTGTGCAGAAAATAGTTCTAGTTAAGAGGGAGGAGCTGGCTGGTTCGACTGGCTCGTGGGCCTGGCCAGCGTAGACACTCCGGCGAGGCGTCCACGAGGACTTGCTGTGTAACAGGAACGATGACTTCCGTGGGGTCTACAGGCAGGGGCCTGGGCGCCCGCACCGGTTAACAGCTCTGGGGTGGGGTTGACTGTCACTCATTTTACAGACAGGCAAGCAGACAAAGTGACTTGTCCCCCACGGAAAGGAGTAAGGGAGCCACCCCTGGAATGACCCCAGGACTCTGTGTGATGTGGAGGGCGGTCTCGGCCCCCGCTGCTCCACTAGGGGGGAGGAGAGCCGGCGCGCATTGATTGCTGGTGTAGACGCAGCCGGGGCGGCATCCCCGCGCGCCCGCGCCGGGCCAGCTGTCGGGAACTCGGGCCGGCTCCGCTCGCGCTTACTGGAAACGCGCTCCCGAGCGAGGAGAGGCTCGATGGATGGAGCCCGGGGCCGCCTTGCCCCAGGGCCGGGCCGCCCTGGGAGCGGGCCAGCCCCGGGGGACCCGGCGCCTCGCGGGGCGCACAGGGCCTGGCGGGACCGCGCTCCCGGGGGCGGGCGGGAGGCAGGAGGGAGCTGGCGCGCGGCCGGGGAGGGGACCCGCCGGGGAAGCCGTGGGGCGGGATGTCAGCAGCTGCAAAACGAACCCGCCTCCCTTCCCGGTATCCTCGCGGCCACCCCGCGGAAGGTGGCGCCGCGCCAGGCGGGCACCAGAACCGGCGCAGCCACGCCCTGCCGAGGGTGCAGGTGGGCCTGGGCCCCGGGGTGGGGGCGGGGGGCTGGCGGGGTCTGTCTCCTGACCCTGGAACCCTGGAAGAACCCCCTCCCTGCTGCCTGCCCCTCCCCCCACCCCACCCCCCACCACAGCTGGGGGCTGGGCACGCCCTCAGCCGCGGATGTGGATTGAGCACCTGCTATACCGGGGCCCTGGGGTTGGGGGTGGGGGTGGGGGTGGGGGAGCGGTTTTCTCCCTTTCAGGAAAGTGTTCCAGTGCGTGTGGATTTATTTATTTACAAGCTATAGGCACTTTATTACTAGGTTTATATATTATGTACTTAGAAAAGTTGAGATTTTCAAAGGATGAGATAAACCATGGAAATAGAGAGGCTGTGTTTCTTTCCATTCGCCGGAGGAGGCTGGTCTTGCACACATCCCGCGGCCGAGACCTGGGTTTCGGGCTGCATGTTGGCTGGGCCCCCCGAGCCGCAGGAAACACCCCACTCTCCCCCTCCCCCTCCCGCGGGGTCCTATCCTCCCGACCCTCCAGGCCCAGGCTGAGCTGCCCCCCGGGCCTGGTTCCGGCTTCATAGCCCTCAGCGGAGGATAGCAGATGGCAGGCTGGGGTACCCGAGGGTGCTCTGAGGTCTGGGTTCAAATCTTGCATCTGCTACTTTCGGGCTTAGTGACTTCAGGCCTCTCTGAGCCTCAGTTTCCTCTTCTGTAAAGCCGAGAGAGTAGCATTTCCCTCCTGCCTACCAGAGTGCCTGGTTTGCAGGCCCCCCTCACCCCCCCCCAGATGGGCACAGGTAGGGTGTGGGCAGACACCCCTGAGCAGCCCTGATGGCAAAGCTGTTAGGAGCGCACCCCGAGGGGGCAGGCAGGGTCCTGTGATGGTCATGTAGATCCAGAGGGAACGATTTCTCAGTGTCTGGCTTAGGATATGGTTGTGTTGAAGGATAACTTTTAGTAAAGTCTGTGTCACGAAACTGAAGGGCTGTAGGAGAGGAAGGGTTCAAGGAGGAGCTGGCAGGAGAGAAGTGTGAGGGACCAAAGAGTCACTCAGTCGGTCAGTCAACAAACATTAACTGAGCATCAGCTCTGTGCCTGCCAGCCACTGTTCTAGGCAGTGGACAAGGCAGTCAAGGAGCTCACTCAGCTGCCTGGGATCCCTCACAGCCCAGGGTGTTCCCCTTAGCGAGCAGTGCTTCTCTGAGGTGCCTCAGAGCCACCTTCAGGTCAGGGTTGAGGGGCCCCCGGAGGTAGGGGGAGGCCCGGGCCAAGGGCTGAGGTGTGGTCCCCCTGGGCGGAGAGTGACTCAGGCCCCGCCCAGCCTCCCCACTGCCTGGGTTTGGTTTGTTTAAGAACAAATTAGTCACGGAGTAGGCAGCTTTCCCGAAAATAAAATGAGAATCCCCAGGAAACAGGGAAAATTGAAGGCAGGCGGGTGAGTCAGCACGTGCTGGCCCCAGGGCTCCACTTTCCAAAAGGCTGTGCCCTCCTGCCCTCCTCCTCCTCTACCCCCTTCCCCTCCTCTCCTCTCCCCCTCTCCCCTCCTCCCTCTCTTCCTCCTCTCCCCACACCTCCTGTTCAGCCTCCCTCCCAGGCACTGACTTTCACCTCCCATTTCAGCACGTTCTCTACCACTTCTCTCCACCACGATGCTGCCCCTCGGCTTTCCTCCTTCTCTTTTACTTTTCCTCTTATCCTGTCCTGACTTTTCCCTCCCACTCCGTTGCCTCTCCTCACTCACCGAGTCTGTCCTCACACAGGCGCACTCACTCGTTGATCTCGGGTTCCCTTCCTCTGTCCATCCATCCCTCCATCCATCATCCGTGTGTTCATTCGGATTTACAGAGCACCCACCAGGTCCAGGCGCTTGGGCGGGAGGGAAGATGAGCAGAGAAAGCCTCATGCCACCCCCCAGAACCTTCCTTGTGGGGATGGAGACTCTTGCGGAGGAGACCTAAGAGGATGTGACCAGACAACCACAGCCGTCAGCGCCCTGGGCTCTTCCCCACCTCCCCCTGCTCCTCCAGTCACTCCTCTGCAGGGACAGGCAGAGCGGGTCCCAACAAAAAGGACAAAAGAACAATGCCTGAGGCCCCCTTCGGAGCCCTCTGTCCTGGTCCTGGCTCAGAGCCCTGGGGGACTGCGAGGTGAGCAGGACAGGAGAGCTGGCTTCTCACACCCTCGTGCCTCCCTGCACCCAGAGCAGGAGTGAAGGGGAGTGGAGCTGGCTGTGTTCTGAATCTGAGGAAGGGGCTCTGATGTCCCCTGTTCCCTGCCTTCCCATCCTGAGTCTCTGTGGGAGGCGGCGGCCAGGCCTGCACTTTGGGGAGGACTCTGCTCATGCTCCCTCCCACCCCGCCTGCCTGAGGTCAGCAGGGAAGGTTCCAGCTGTAGGAGGGAGAAGGCATCGGGGAGCCAAGCACCTCGGACCCTGGCCTCTCAGGACAGTGCCAGCCTGCTGTGGCCTGGGGTCTACCTGGCTGGAGTGAGTGAGACCCTTCCATCAGGACAAGTCCCTGGGGGGCCAGGGGCGCCTCTCGCTGTGGCTCCCCACGTGGTCAGGGCCCTCTGATTCAGTCTCCTCTCACCCCCATCTCCAAGCTGGCACTGATGCCCTTCCACTCCGTGGGACCCCCAGGACCGCTCTCTCCCCAGACCCCTCTAACTCGGTGCTGGTCCCTCAGGAGCAGGGGGAGGTGGCCCCATGTCTGGGTCACCAGGCTGGGCTGGGGTCTCCTGTCTCTCCGGTCACTGTCCAATCTCTGTCTGCTGCTCTCGATGAATAATTTAGTTGTTCGAATTACAGTAAAGAGCTATTCAGCTTCCCTTCCCAAATCATTAAGAGCTGATACAAGATGCCTTGGTTCCTTCTAAGGAAAGTCCCTTTCCCAGAGAAACTGAGCCTTGTGGGCGGGGATCTCCCCCTCCCCCCAATCATTCAGCAATATCAGACAGTAATAGGGGCATCGGTTTGGTTTTGTTGTTTTTTTAAAGATTGGCACCTGAGCTAACAACGTTGCCAATCTTTTTTTTCTGCTTTTTCTCCCCAAATCCCCCCAGTACATAGTTGTAGATTTTATTTAATTGTGGGTCCTTCTAGTTGTGGCATGTGGGATGCTGCCTCAGCATGACCTGATGAGCGGTGCCATGTCCGCACCCAGGATCCGAACCCGCAAAACCCTGGACCACCGAAGCGGAGCGCGAGAACTTAACCACTGGGCCACGGGTATGGCCCCTGGTTTTTTTTTAATCTCGGCTGTAAAAAATATATTGGAGCGTTTGATGCCAGTTCTTGGGAGCAGGAAAGTTCAACTGTCCTGAGGGATTGGGGAGGGTGCCACTCTGCCAAGAGCCTTGGGGAGCCAATGGTGACCCCAAGTCGCAAGTGCAGGTCCCTGCAGGGGGTTTGAAATGCGGGAAGGAACACTGCAGGAACCTGGGAGGAGGGAGTGTGTGGTGTGAAACCCACCATACCGTGCAAGTGTGCACGCGTGTGCACGTCTGTGTGCAGGTGCACACGTGAATGTGTATCCACAAGCCTGTACACATATGTACATATACATGTTCATATATACATGCATGTGCATGTGTGGGTGCATGTGCACAGGCAGTGTGTATGTATACATGTGTGCATGCACAGGCGTGTTCGTGTGCATGTCCGTAGGAGCGCGGGTGCGTGAGTGTGGCTAGGAAGGGGTGGAGGTCTGCAGCGCAAGGACAGCGCTGTCCAGGAGTTCTCCATCTCCTCCCGGTTCTCAGAGCTGGGTGAGTTGTTGCCTGGGGAATCTGGGTGGGGCATCTGGGTGGGGCATCTGGGTGGGGCGGGGCTCGGCTGCCCAGTCAGGTGACTTGCAGGCAGGCAGGGGAAGGGCTTTAGGAAGTTGAGAGAGAGGGAGGGAGGAATGGGAAAGGACAAGGGTGGGGACCTTGGCTGGAAGATTCACTGGAGAGTGAGGCAACAGCCTTGGCTTTGAGCATTTCGGGTTCCAGAGCCAAGCACGGACGCCGGGAGGTGGGGCTCCCCCGAATGATGGAGCCCAGTGGGTGCGGGCCCAGAGGAGAGGACCAGAGACCAGGCCTGGGGCCTCACTCCGGCGATGGAGGCTCCCAGTGCCTGAGGAGGTCCTGCGGTCGGTCGGGGGTGGGGGGGAGCATGGACGGCTGGGGTGGCAGGTGGAGAGGAGGAAGGGGGAGGAGGGGAGCCCTGAAGTTCTGCCTGGCCTGGCGGCAGGCTCAGCCACACAGCAGGAACCTCTGCCTCCAGCCTCACTGGTGGAGTTTGTTCTCCGTAGCGCTATCCTCGGGGATGGCCCTGCATTTCCCAGCACACGCCCCAATCCCAGAGCCACTTTGCTTGCAGCCTATACCTGATTCACTTCATACCTGGGCCAGCACAGCTGGTCTCTCGCAGCTGCCCAGGGGCCCTCACCTGTAGAAGGGATCTCGGAGACCAATGTACAGAGGAGGCTTCTGGAGGAGGCACGACCCATCACACTCCTGGGTTTGCAAATCTGGGTGCCCCTCACCCCAAGAATCCACTCTCCTCTGTGCTCCAGTGAAGGCCCTGGCCCCTGCAGCCGTCAGTGGAGCAATCTCCCCACCTGCTCCAGGCTGGGCTTCTGCAGCTTTTCCCACCCAGGGGGACAGCCCTCAAGCATGTTGGGATGGCAGTGGGCACTGCTTTCCTCCAGCTAGATGGCTTGGTTTGCCCCATAAATGGCCAGGTGTCCCCTTGAAAACCTCCTGTGGTCCCAGCCTCCAGACGCAGCCTTGATGATGCTCTCCCGCCCTCATCTGCTCTCATCCGTCCTCTCCCTCTCAGAAGATCACATAGGGCCCAGCTGTGACCTCCGCACCTCTTGGCCAGATGCAGGCCAGCTCTGGGCCCCTGGGGACAGCCCTAGATCTGCTATGTCAGCATCCCTGCAGCTGTGGCTGAGCAGGAGCTGGACAGAGGTGGAGGGAGCGCCCCACAGACCTTATTGGGGCCCCCTCTAGAATCAAGACAGCAGCCCCTGGTAACCTCCCCATCCCTCCCTCCCTGAGCCCCAATCCCCAGTCTTGGCTCCTTGGGGAAAGGGAGTGCAGTCCCTCAGAGGGCAGGAGCGGGTTCTCCCAGTTTCCTTGGAGAAGATGGGGAATGTTCTGATTTCCAAGCTCTCAGGGAGCCCCATGCACTGCTCCTTGCTTCCTGGTGATAAGGAATAGGGAGCTCTCTGCCCTGTCCCTCCCCGCCTCCCCCCTTCCCTGGGAGCCGTGTGCAGGGTGGCACCTGGCTGGTGGCAGCTGAGCAGAACCCCCTGCCCTCCGCTCTCGTCCTCTCCCGGGTGGGAACTGACGAGGGTTGTGGGGATGCAGTGGACAGTCACCTCGCTCCCGCCCACTGCAGGCCTGCCACATCTGCATCTCCACGCTCCAGTCAGTGGGCTTCCCTCGCCGCCCCGAGAGTTCCTCCGTCTCTCCCTGGCCTCTGGACAATCTTCCCCTAGGTCAGGGGTCAACAAACTCTGAGAAGGGCCAGGGAGTAAATATTCGAGTTTCTGCTGTTGTAACGTGAATTAGCATGAATTGCAAATTCACAATTCGCAGACTGATGAGCGTGGTTGTGTTCTAAAAAAGCATTATTTATGGACATTGGAATATGAATTTCATCTAATTTTCACGTGTCTTCTTCTTCTGAAATAGTATTCTTCTGATTTGTTTTGCAACCATTTAGAAACGTAAAAGCCATCCTTTGTGGGCCGGGTGGGACTCGGCCTGTGGGCTCCTGTGCACTGCCCCCTATCCTAGGCTCCCCCTTGGCTAACTCCTGGGGGTGCAGCTGACACACTCTTTCCCTCACCAGGTGAGAGCTTCGTGTTGGACACCCCCCACCGCCCTGCACTGCCTCTTCCCTAATAGGCAGCCTAGCACAGCGCCTGGCACACAGCAGGTGCTCATAAGTGTTTGTTGATTAAACATGCTTGCTGCACATTGTCTCCTTTGAGCTTCACAACAACAGAGTCAGAGCTATTATCTCCACTTTATAAACAAAGTAACTAAGGCCCAGAGAGGTTAAGTAACTTGCCCAGGGTCCCCGAGCTAGTGGGGTCAGAGGAAGGAATTGAGCCTGCACACTGTTTCCTGGGTGCTGGCTGGGCAGCAGGGGCCGGGTCCTGGGCCTCTGTCCCAGGGCTGGGCCTCCAGGAGATGTGGGTGGCCAGGCTGCTCTGGGGATCAGGAGTGCAGCCTGACTTTCCTCCTTGGCGTCAGGCTTGCATGGGGGCTGACCGGAGACTCCCATTACCCTCTGTCCTCCCGGAGGCTCCCGCCCTGCCCTGGGGTGGTGTCTTTGTGACTCAGTGCTGGGCTCCAGTCCTGCCTTCTCAGGGCTAGACCCAGTGATTCTGGATCCCTGATTCCGTCGTCACCCACCCGCTCCTCCCCAGCCTTCCGCCTGAGCCACCACTTCACACAACCTGGGCCAGTAACAGCTGTCCTTGCTGCCCCCTGACTGTGGACGTGTCCCGTCCCCACTGGCCATGGCCTCTGCTCGGCCTCCAGCCCAGTGCTTCTTGCCAAGTGTTAACCTCCCCCTGTGTCAGAGGAGGACGATTCTCCTGTCACCTTCCCACTCCCAGCGTCAGCCTGGGAATTGGGGCGCGCTTCTGGGCGGGCGAGGCTGGATAAACATGTGGCCCAGCTGTGGTCTGCCTTCCCATCATGGGGTGTCTCGGGAGGTTTCTGAGGCTGGGGACCGGAAGGTGCAGGCTCCCTCCTTTGGACTTGCAGGCACTGACCCCAGGACCAATCTGGCCGCTGCAGCTCGGCTCTTCCTTCTAGCTCTTTCCCACAGAACATCCTGGCTTCAGGGATTCCCATCACCTCGGCCAGAGTTCATGTGAAGTCCCCCGTCCTCTCCCTCCCCTAACCCCTGGAGGACAGCGAGGAGGACAGAGACCAGGATCATCCGGGCGAGCTGGACAAGGGAGCTAGGGTTCCTGTGACGGGAGTGTGGTGAGGTAGCAGGGAATTGGCGGAGGTCAGCCTGCAGGTAGCCACAGTGTAGATCCCGCAGTGGACGACATCGTGGCTTCGGGGACAGTGAGATGGCAGCAACATCATCACCAGAGATCGCCAGCCCTCACCCAGTGCCTTGAGGAAGCAATGCCCGGCCGGGAGACAAGCTGGCTCTACCCTGGGATAGGGAGCAAGTACCGATGAAAGGGCTGGGGGCCAGGCAGAGGAGTTCCAAGGAGCTGGATGGGGTCCTTAGGAAAGGCCCCAAAGCTCTCCTCCTTCCTCCTCCCTCCTTCCCGACAGATACAGCCTGAAATGCCCAGGGTCTCCAGCCAGCCAGAGAGCTGGAGAATATGGCCAGGCTGGGCCCCCGGGGGCCTCACTCCACCGCAAAAGCAGCCCTGTGGTATCAGCCATGCCAAGAGCCACCTGCCAACTACCCCAGGAAGATGGGGACGTGGTTCCTGGGCTGGGGCAGGGCAAGGTCGAACACCTAGGAATCAAGGAAGGAAGGAGGGAGGGATGGAATGATGGAGAGAGAGGGGTAGGAAGAAAATAAAGAAGGATGAAAGGAGAGAGGAGAGAGGGGAGAGGAGAGGAGAAGGGATGGGGCCATGGATAACCTCCCACCTGGCGGAGGTCCCTGGGCTGAGAGGCCCCCAGGTGCGCATGCGCTGCTCTTCAATGGTATTTATCGCCCTCCCACGTGTACTCATTTATCTCCTGGCTCTGGCCCCAGGTCCAGCTGGGATGACAGCCCTGTGCCCGCAACCCCGTTGCCTGGGCAACGCCCCTTTGTTGGGCAGGAGCATCTGAAAATGTCAGATGTTTTCAGCAGGTCAGACCTGGGTCCTTCCCGTCTTTCCCCTTCTCCGTTTGCAGTTCCAGTTGCCTCTGCCCAAGTTGCAAACTTCCTCTGTCTCCATGGGGATAGAGAAGGGCTGTCTCTCTTTTTCCGTCCCAAACATCTGTCTCTATAAACAGTTGTGTTCGGGGCGCCTCCTCCTCCTGGGCCCGGGCTTGGGGAGGAAGTGTCTTGTTTATCTGGAGGGGGTGGGTTTCCTTGCTCCTCTGGGGGTTGGCCGTGTGGGATGGCTGCAGCCCTGGACTCTGGGAGCCCCTGGCTGGCGGCCAGCGCTGGCTGTTCCTCCGGGGCCAGTGCCGGCTGGGAAGGGCGGCTGCTCTGCACAGTCGTCTGGCAGACTGCGGCTCGCTTTGCTAGCTGGGTTGCGTTAGACAGGTTACTTAACCTTTCTGAGCCTCTGCTCCATCCTCTGTAAAGAGGAGGTGCTAATAGTGTCTCCCTCAGGGATTTTGTTGAGGGGGTGATGAGATGATCTTCACAAAGCTGTGGGGCTACCTCCAGAGGCTCTTGTATTTCACACTCCAGGGCCTCTCTCCGTAAGTGACTACTATCTTCAGCCTCATTCAGGAGAATGTCGAGACTCAGGGAGGTGAATTGGCCCAGAGTTATATGGGCGTTCAGCAGCAGGGACAGGATTTCACCCCAGGATGCAAGCCCAGACATCTTCTAATCCACCAGGACCTCTGTCGGAAGCCCAGGTCCTCAGTTTGCAGGCCGAAGAGCTTGGAGCAAGTGCCCTCCTCCCCAGCTTGAAACTTCGACTTGTTTCAGGGAAGAGGGTGGGACGAGATGAGAAGTGAGTGGGGTTTTGCTGAGAGCCAGGGACTGGAATGCACGATATATAGGCAAGAAGTCAGGGACAGGGCCCCTGATGACTCAGATCTGCTTTCCCTGCCTGGTGGAAATGGGAATTGGGCCACGGGCGAGAAGGTGGGCCTGGCCCAGGCCCAGCCCCGGCTCGGCCACCTCGGAGAGCCTATCCTGGGCCCATGTGGCCTGGGCGCCAGCATCACTCCCATCCACCTCACCAACCTCACTCCCAACTCCAAGTCCAGCACCTTTTCCCGTGTCCGCAACCCAGTGTGGTGCACAGAATGAGATCAATTACCCTGTTTCTAGACAACCAAGGAGACACCTCGCGCACAATCAAGTCAATGGCCGAGTGATGGCTTGGGCTTCAGAGCAGGAAGAGTTTGAACCCAGCTCGATTAAGTACTGGCTGACCTAGGGTGAGTTATCCTCTCCAAGACTCGGTTATTTCTTCTGTAAAATGGGTAGCAGAAGAAGAGCGCCTGCTGGAGGGGATGCTGACACAGGACTAGGGGTTGAGCCTGGGGAGTGGCTCCAGAAATGAAGAGGACGTTACTGCCGGATTCCTTGTTGACTCGGGAGGCAGGAAGCTGTGCTCCCCGGTCCCACAGTGGCCTATGCTCTCTCGACTGGACACCTAGGGACTTGGGGTCTGGAAGCAGTGTGAGCGCAGTGCAAGAAGGAGGGCAGAAACAAGAGCATCGTGGGAGCAGTAAGGCTGGGGGGTGGCAGTGGGTGCTGAGGGGAGTGAGGGAGCCGGGACCAAGAGCCCATCCCTGGAAGACTGGAGGCAGGACCGCATGGGAAGCTCGGCTCCAAGCTGTAGCACGTGCTCCATCGTCCCATTGGACTTCACTTAGAAAACACAAGTTATTAAGAATTTCATGGTGACTGCAGAGCACCACATCCCAAGCACGAGGCTCCTTTCTGAGTACGGGGTCCTGGAAGCAGCTTGCCCCTGAGGATGTAATGTGACTAATGGCAACTCCCGGGATGTCTCCCAAGACACTGAATAAAATGGACCTGAGGGCAGACAGCAGGTGGAAGAGAGAGTTCACATACAGGTTCCCATCTCCCACTAGCCAAAGGTTCACCCTCCAGCAAATTAATGTCCCAGACTTCACTGATGCTGCGTGGTGCTTCAGCAGCCCAGGCCGGGCAGGAGGGAGGAGCTTGGGGTGTGGGCCCGGTGGAGCCCCCCAGGGCTGGCCCTATGCACAGACCAGGAGCATCCGGGTGACACGTAGAAAGCATCTAACGCAAAGTCTATTTCCCGAGGTTGATCCTTGTGCTGTGACTCTCTAAGAAATACCTTTGTTTTTAGGACACACACACTGAAGTGTTTCGGGGGAAAGAGCCCTCATGTCTGCAACTTACATTCAAATGTCCTGCGAAGAAAATGAAGAGAGAAAGGGGAAAGAGAAAATAACATACAAACGTGGTAAAGTGTTAACATTTGGGGTATCCAGGTGTAGAGCATACAGGAATTCTTTGCAGTATTTTTGCAACTTTTCTGTAAGCCTGACATTATTTCAAAATAAAAAATTGGGGTTGTTTTGTTTTGAAGGGTGTGATACTGTTATTATTGCTGGGGGAAGAAATAGCAGCAAAGAGCCAGCCCCGCTGGCAGTGGTCGCTTCTGCTTGGAGGGCTCAGGCTCGGCCCGAGGCACCGTGGCCATGGGACAGGGCAGCAGTGGCACCAGAGTGCCAGCACCCCCCACTCCTGCCGCCATCGGGCTCCAGCTTTCCTGCCTTGTGGCCAGTCTTTCCCTTTGGGGGGCCAGTGACTCAGCCACGGGTTCCATGTGGCAGGAAGTGGGCGCAGTGACTCATGGGTGGCTCTGCACCCTCCCTCCGGGAGGCTGGGATAGCAGCCGAGGCCCCAGGCCAGAGACGGTCCTCAAAGAGGGGGATCTGCCCCCCGGGGATAAGCCCAGGGGGTGCTGCTCTGGAGGACGGGGCCCGGAGCACTCGGCTGGCATGGGCTTCCCTCGCCCTCTGGGGGCTGGCTGAGTGTACCCCCTGCCCACAGCCCTCGGAGCTTTCTGGCCATTTGTGGGCATGTGCACGATGCTGGACACTTCTTAATTCCCCGCCGTCTGCAAAGCCGGCAGCCGCTGCCAAGGGCCCCGACCCTGCTGGCTGCCCCCAGCTGTGTGCCTTCGCCAGGGGCCTTGTCAGCACTCAGCAGTGGTGCAGATGGCCCGGGTGCCCAGTTCCCTAGGGACGGCCGGCTTCCAGCCTGTTCAGGCTCAAGCTCCATGGCATTTCCCCCTCTCCTTGATGATGGGTGCTGGGAACTCATCCGTTCTCTCCATGGTAGGTTCCAACCCAGCTCCTAATTAGTGAACGAACGTTGCTTCAGGGCGCAAGCTGGGTCTTCCCTCCAAGAGGCCCTGACTTCTGCTTTTCTTCTTCTTCTTCTTCTTTTTGAGGAAGATTAGCCCTGAGCTAACATCTGCCATCAATCCTCTTTTTGCTGAGGAAGATTAGCCCTGAGCTAACATCCGTGCCCATCTTCCTCTACTTTATATATGGGACGCCTGCCACAGCATGGCTTGATAAGCGGTGCATAGGTCCGCACCTGGGATCCGAACTGGTGAACCCCAGCCCACCAAAGCAGTGCATGAGAACTTAATACTGCGCCACTGGGCCAGCCCCACCTGCTTTTCTCCTCACTTAAGGCTGGCAGTGCTCACTTCAAAGTGAAGGCATGCTCACATTTATGTTGTGGGGGTTGGGGGTTGACCCAGTGCTTATACGTCCATGGTCTCATTTATTCTCATAACAGAGAGGGAAACAGAGGCTCAGAGAGGTTAAGGAACTTGCCTGAGGCCACACAGCACCAACTCCAGATTTGAACTCAGGTCTTTCTGACTCCAGAGTCCACCCACCCTCATCCCACCTTGTGATGGGCTGCGGATTCTCCCTTATTGCTCATGTGTCCACGCTTTGTCTCCCCAGCTCAAGGTGAATCCAGGAGGGTCGGCGGGAGGATGGCTTCCTCCTTTTCTGAAGCCTCCAGCACCCCACAGTCCCTGACACACTGAGGTGCTCGGGCACAACTCCCAGGTGAACTAAGGGTCTGATGGAGAGTCACTCTGGGCGCAGTACCAGCCCTCTGCAGCAAACCGGGCTCGCTCCCACCCTGCACCCAGCAGGCTCCTGCCTGTCCCTTCTCCTCCCACGGCCCCTGGTCAGGGAGAACCAGCAGATCCCTCCCTTCCCAGGCTGCCTAGTACCCCTCCCGCCTCCAGGGCTCTGCACGGAGGACCACGTGGCATCTCCGGCCTCCCTCGCCCCCCCCCCCCCCCCCCCCCCCGCCAGCCTCTCACTCCCGTCTCTTCCCTACTTTCCCCCTCCAAAGTGTGTTGTGTGTGTCTCTCTCTCCTTGATCGCCTGATCCCCTCCACCTCTGTGTTGTCATCAGGCTGCTGTCATTCCTCCAACAGCCACTCAGCCAGCCTAGGCTTCCCCGGGGCCACCCACGCTCAAGGGCCCTGTCATCCGTCATGGCTTTGCTGGGTCACTTCCCACTTCCTCTGCGCAAACACAGACCCAGGGGAGGTGCTTCCAGTGAATTGGAAGGGGACCCTGGGGTGGTCCAGTCCAGCCTCTCTGGCTGTCAGCTGACCTCTGCCGCAGCACTTCTGTCAGTGGTAGGCTCCCGGCCTCCCACAGACCCGTGTTCCTGTGTGGACAGCAGGGGTGGGGGGGCTCTCCCGGGAGGGCTGGATGAGACGGCGCTCTGTGTCCAGCTCTCAGATGAACGCCGCTTTCCCCTCCTTGTACTCAGTTGAAACCAGCCTCCTGGAAACTTCCTTTGTTCTTGGATCTGGGGGGGAGCCCTGTCCCCATGATTGCCAGCTAGCCGGTGAAACTCTCTTGCCCTTTCTTCTCTCAGGACGAATCCTGCCCCTGGGGAACGTGAGTCTTCAGACCTTCCTGTCCTCCTCCCCTGACGCCCTCCAGTTTCCCGACATTGCGCTTCAAACGTGTCACCCAGAACAGTGCCCACGGCTGCCCACAAAGGACTGGAGACGGCTCCATCCCGATGGGGACCAGGGACGCGGCGGCTTCCTCATGTCCCATGGAATCCAAGCGCAGCCAACGCCTCCGCGTCTTTCCTCCTCCGCCCCCAGTTCTGGAGCGCCTGGGCATCAGATCGAGGATTCCGTATTTAATCCTATTCAGTTCCCTCTGTGTCTTTCAACCTCTTGTTCTACCTAGGCTGTCACCATTTTTGAATCCAGATAAGTTAGATTACACCCTAGTTTTGTTTTGTCTGAAAATCTGGTCATCTGCTTTCGTGGTCTTCACTTCAGTCCTTGATGAAAATGTTGCACACGACTTGGGCCAGGCCAGAGGCCGTGGCGCCTCTCCGGAGACTGACCTCCAGATGGGCATTGCTCACTCATCGAGAGACTTTTGTCTTGTTTCTAGTAACTCTTTCTAGCTGCTACAACCTAATTGTACTATTTCCTAGGCTACTTTTTCCATGTCTTCCATGAGGTTATCACAGAAAGTCAGATGTTTTGATGGAATCAAGGTGTTCCATATCCACAGCATTTCTATGGCCTGACAACCCAACCCAAGAAGAAAGGACTCCCTTTGGCCTGCGTTGCTAATAGTAAGCTTTTAATTTTTTTATGCTTGAAAAAAGGATAGAAAGTATTCATTTTATTAAAATTCCAAAATACAGATAGATGAAAAGGAATTTTAAAGCACTCTAAGTCCCCCCCTGCATAAACGAGCACTTTAAACATTTTGGTATATATTTCTACAAGTTTCTAAAAACATCTAATAAATAAACAAAAACATCTAAAAGCGCATATGCCAAAAACCTCATAACAATGCAACCAGATCTAAATACTCTTTTGTCATCTGCTTTTTTCACTCACTAATATTTCGTGAATATCTTCACATATGAATAAAAGTACCACGACATAAACTATTTTTATGGGCTGTGTAGTATTCCATTATAAGGACATAGACTATTCAACAGATCCCACATAACTGGATTCAGTTTTTTTGCCTTTATAAACATTGTTGTATTTACCCGTTATGAACACATCCGACAGCTTCCCTGAAATTACTTCCAATGTTAGAGTCTGTCTTTTCTGAGTAGCCCTGGATCCCCAGACTTCTTTATCTCTACTTCTCTGGTAAACATATTTTCCATTACAATCATTATATACTGTCATCTCCCTGCTTGTAGTTGCTAAGCTCCTTTAGGGAACCGTCCACCCCAATTCAAGATTTCACCCCTAATGCCTAACACAGTCGCTTGCACCGAGAGATACTCCGTAAGCGTTTGTTGACGAAGGGCATGAATAAAGGAATTTGTTTAATGATTCAGTCCAGAGTTGCCCTGGTGATTACTGTCATCCTCACTGGGTTCCCGTTTCTCAAGTCTGGTTTCTGCCCCACAGGGGCCTGGTTTGCCCATCTTCCTGTCCCTCTCCCGATCTCAGGGATGAGAGAAAATGCGCCGCTCCCCCATCTCGGACTTCACTTCCCTCTTAACCTCAGCCTGCCCTGCTTTCTTTCTGAGTCTTATGGAGAAGCAAGTACAACTTGGAGCAGGTCTGCATGGCCTTGCGAGGCCATTTGGAGAAGTGGCGAGGGTGTGGCCACCTTGAGTTGCTCCCTTGCGGGACATTCGCAACAGCCCCTGCTCCTCAGGGCTTTGGTGAAATTGACAGTCTTTCGGGGGCAGACCAGTACACAGTAGGCGCTCAACAAAGGCAGCTCTCCTTCTCTTTCCTCTTCTGTCTGTTGAGACAATTCCGTCTTCTCACCTAAGGGCTGGGTCTCTCCCTTGGCATTCACTTTTGGTGGAATGCCTCCCTTCTTTCCTTCCTTCCTCCTCCTCTCCCTCTCTTCTTTCCTTCCTTTCTCCGTCTTCTCACCTCATCTTTTTTGAAATATGACCTCAGCTCCCTAGAAGGTTCCCCTTGCTTGATTTAGTACCCCCACCCATCAGCGTTCCTTCTCATAGAGATCTTTTGTGATCGGATTATCTGAACTGTGGATCTCGCCGCCCCCCCCCCCCAGTTAATAATTTTCCTCGATTGACCCATTTTCACTCTTATAACCTATAGCATTTTTTGGCCAGAATTCCCTTAACTTTTTGAACAAACATCCACTGAAGTCTAGGATACCCATCTGACAATTCCCAATGTCTCTTTCCCTGGCTATGATAAAGGGGATCACCCTGTGTGAAAAGGGACCCCACAATGTAGTTCCTTTTCTGGTGTTCAAACATCAGAGTCTTCACCAGAATAAAGACCACCTCATCCCCACCACCAATGTGATCCCTAAACTCAGTCCAAGACGAACGGATGATGCTCTGCCTGCCTCTGTAAGGGGGTGACTTTCCAAGCAACAGCTAAGAAAGACAACGCAATCCGACAGAACACGATCCACTGAGCATGCACTCTGTGACTGTGACCCAGGGACCAGGGAGACAAAAGATGGAGGAGACTTGATTTCCTGTTCAAAGAGCTTAGAATTTAATGACTAAGAGTTTAGGATTTAGAATCAGAGAGTTTACGACCTAAAGTGAAGAACATAACGTTGAACAAGGTAAAATTCAAGATAGTTTTTTTTTTTTAAAGAATTTTGAAATTGTGTTGCCTGCCTGTTTCTTCATCAGGGTAAGTAATTTCCAGTTAGCCCATCCATTGAACAAATATGTATCAAGAAAGAAAAACATGGGCCCAGAGCCTACCATGCGCACAGCTGATGGTATGATGAGTGGGTTCTTGGAAGACTGAGTTCTGCCCTTGAGACAGCATAAAATGGAGGGACACCAAGGTCAGAGGGCAAATGCCCAGTCCTTGCCAGTGGGAGTCATCTTGATTTCCACTTGAGGGGCTAAGGGTTAGGTCATCGAGAGTGGAAATCTCTGGAAAAACCCGGTTACCCCTGTTGCAATATTCTAGGAAAACGGCCCATCTATTGAATAAGAGTGAATCAGCCAGGGGAAGCTTTGGGGCAGTCAGTGCTGTCCCATGGCCCCTTGCTCCACCCTTTGGTTCCCCAGTGATGCTCCAGCCGCCCTCTGGGGGCCATGGGGAGGAGAGAGTGACGCTCTGATCCGGAATTTCAACCAGACATATGCAAATGGGCAGTGGGCTCTTCGGAGGAAGTTATGAGAGAAGAGGGCTGTGGGCAGAAAGCAGAAGTGAGAATGTGAGATTTCCCAGTCCTCCCTCCCTCCTGCCCGCTCCCTCCGCCTCACCCCGAGCTGAGTGGCCTCTGCGCCTTCCCTCTCAGAAAGGAGGCCTGTGACTTTTCCCCAGTTACCCAATGCTGAGAATTGTCGGTCTTTAAAGGAAACCAGACTTGTAAGGCTTCCTTCGGTTCCAGAATTGAGAGATAGAGTTGGGGTGCTCAGTGGAGCAGGTGACCAGGTTAAAGAAGGAGGAAACAGATAATCTGGCCACAGCTGAGGCAGAACCCAGAGCCCTCCCTCGGGGGGGTTACCATCCCGTGCAACAGACGAGAACCCGGCACAGGGAGAGGGGTCAGGACCTGAACTCGTCTGCCAAGTTCCCAAGCTTCTGGCCCTAGTGCCACCACCCCCCTGGACTGTAAGCCCCCCAAGGTTGGACAGACACTATTCTTTCAGGAAACTAGGACCCCATGTCCTGTATTTCAGCTCTGACCTCCAACACAGACATACGTCGGGAAAACACTGCCTTACCTGCTGAATTTTGATGGAGCAATTCGGTATTCCCAGTAACTTCCACTTTTAATTAACCGTCAATTGATTATCCTTCCACTTCCCCGTGAGCGTGAAGGCTCCCGCCTCTGTCAGGAAGTACACCACCTATTGACAAGTGAGTCAAAGCTTCTCCAAGCAGCTGTCACTTATTCATGAAGCAGGGTGTTGGGTCTCTGGGTTTCCCTCACCTGTCCCAGCTAGGCCTGAAAGATGGAAGTAGAGGGCCCTGGGGAGAAAGTGGTTTCCTGACCCTTCCTGGGCCCTTATCTGAACCACTTTTTCTTCTCTCACTCACTTGCACACGTGCACATTCTCACTCGCTCACTTGCTTGCTCACTTGCTCACTCACCAGCTTTCCTTCTCAGGTTTGGTGGCTTTTTTCCTGACCTTTTATCTATACCCTACAGTGTTAACGCTGGCCAATCCCAGGTGTAAACAAAACTATATGACATCAATTACAGGATGGGTAGTCAGTTGTAGACTGGATTTCTTTTCCTGTGGAGTGAGCTGAGAGGAGTTAGGGATGGGCATAAGTTTCATTTTTTATTCATATATAACTCATTTTTTATTTATTTTAATTGAGGATAAGTAGACATTTAGCACACACATGTTTTATAACTCAGTGTGATAATTTGAAAGAAAAGGAAAGGAAGCTGAGGGTGTAAATATCTGGAAAAGAAGTCTGGGGTCAAGAGAGGACCATCTGGTGGACCCTCCCCGCTGAGGCACCAGGGGACAGGGACATTCTGTGGACCAGCTGGGCCTGGGCGCTGGCCTCGCCACATTCAGCAAGCCGCTTAATCTCTCTAAACCTCAGATTCTTCATGTGAACGCCGGCAGACCTGCTGTGGGGCTTCTCCCTCCCTCCTCCTAGCATGGGGGGATGGAGAGCCCCTGGGGCTGGTTAGAAACGCAGCATCTCAGGCCCCACCTGAGGCCTCATGACTCAGGGTCTGCATCTTAGCAAGAGGCAGGTGGTTCGCGCTGACATTAAAGTTTGGGAAGCGCTGGGCTAAATGACATAACTTACTTAAAACACCTAGCGGAGAGTGGGCAGGCATAAATGTCACCTTCCCTCCCCTTTCCTTCCCTGAGAGTTCTCAGACACTCTCTTTGGGAAACCTTTTGCCCTGGAGAGAGGAGTTTGGGTTAGATAATGGGAGGGACTTGCATTCTGATGGTGGTGCATGTATTTTATCTCCTTACAACCATGATGAGGCACGGGCTGCAAATATTCTTATCCTCATTCACAGAGGGAAGATGTGGCCCCGAGGAGTACAGCAATTGGCCCTAAGGTCACAGAGTAAACCCAGAGGGACCAGGGCCACATGTGCAGGTGCCCTTGGCTTTATCCACCAAGCAGAGGCCACCCGTGGAAGCAGTCACTCCATCTGGAGAGGAAAGGGCCCAGGCTGCAGCTGGAACTTATGAACGTCAGAAGGGTTGCCGGACAGGATGCAAAAAGACCCCAAGGAGCTGGAGTTTGGTGTCCTAAATGTGACACCAAATGTGACAGTTTCATTTGGTGGCTATTTTGGAGGCACCCGTCCTGTGCTGGGCACTGGGGATTCAACATCGAACCATATGGACCCATGGGTGAGGGGTACAGTCAAGAAGGGCAGGGAAATGGGACATGTGGGCTCAAAGGCTGTGCCTGGACAAGCACAGGGTGCTGAAAAGACCATCCCAGACAGAGAGTTGGGAGCAGAGAGAGCCCCAGTGGCCACAGGCTCTGGCCACTCTGTCAGTGATCTGGCACCAGAGAATGGTCCCAGCCTAGCGAAGGACCTAGGTTTCTCCAAAACGGGGAGGGAGCGGGGCGCGGCCTGGGAGGAAGGTGGGGCGTCAGGAGCGAGGGAGCCCTGCCCCAGCGTGCCCTCTGTCCCGGGCGCGCACCCTGCCGGGAAGCCCTGGGGCCGCAGCTGCTCGGCCGGCCCGGCCCAGAATAGCCTCCTTCCGGGCAGGGCTGCCCAGGCCCGTAGCGCCAGCGCCCGAAATAGGGCTCGGCCCGGAGGCAGGTGGCCGGCGCAGCGGGGTCGCCTAGTTCGGGGACGCACCGGGCAGCGGGGCCCCAGGCGCACGGCCGGGGACCCGGGCGCAGGGGCCGGGGGCGGGGCGCCGGCGGGGATCCTGGCTCGGGGACCCGGGAGCAGGCGGACGCAGGGTGGGGGGCCGGGATCCTGGGCGCGGGGCCAGCCCCGAGGCGGCGGGCGGGGCGCTGACCTCAGAGCGGGCGAGGAAGCCCGTCGGGGGCCGGCCGCGCTGATGGAAGGAGTGAGGAATTCGCAGCTGGCGGCGTAGCCCAGCGGGCGCGTGTGTGTTCCCTTCCCCTTTCAACATTGCCGGGAGAGGACGGTTGCCATGGGCGCGGACCGGACCGGGGGACCAAGGCGCGCCCCGTCCGCGGCCCGGGCCCCGCGCGGCGCGCGCCCGAGCCCAGCGGAGGCATCGGGAGCATCCCGCGCGGGGGCGGGGCGGCCTCCGGGGACACCCCGCCGCTGCCCTCACCGCGCCCCCGCCACGCCTGTTGCAATGCGGGTGACGCTGTGAGGTGCGGTCGGAGGCCAGGTGGTCCGGGGAGGCTGTGCGCCTGCCTCAGCACAGGCTCCCCGCGGTGAGCTCAGCG